CGCCGCGCTCAGCCTCTTACCGCGGGCCGCTAGCGGGCCGGGGACGGTTCCCGGTTCTTGGCAGGGGCCAGACCCACTTCCGAAGCCGCTCCTTTGCGCCCTAAAACAAGTAGCCCCAATGTGAGAGAAACAAAAGGTATTTGCTGACGTGGGCGTTGGACAGAAACGCCCGAGGGCTGGGGACACAATTAAAGGGGCAACGCACAGATTTCAGGCACCAACCAGCAGCATCGCCCACTCCCCCTGCCCTTACCTACACCCCGCTGCACCCTCCAGAGGCGCGGGCGCCCGGCTTCCCTAGCTGAGGGCTGCGGAGCCTTATTTTAGTCAGGAGCTTAAATTTAAAGATGTACTTTACGTTGGGAAAGGCGCCTCCGGAGGGCAGAAGGGCTGGATTTCTAGGATGTGGGGAATTTGGGTTAGGAAAGAGGGAGGGACTTAGGCGTGCCCACAATTACTGTGTAAGTACATGTGACATTATTGTACTTAACTTTAGCAACGTCAAATAGACGCTTCCACAGAATTTTCCCTTTGATTGAAGCACTTATTATTTTAAACCTTTGCAGGTCACAGGCATTTCATTGAAGAGGAAAACCCAGATAGGCTGAGATAAGAGAACATAACCTTTAGTTAGTATAAAATTAGTGAAAGCAGATTTTGTGTTTCCAAATAGAAAAGTTAATTGTACATCAAGCTTCGCGTCTGACATGCCGTGTCTCTTATAGCTAGAATACAAACATCAGGTTACACATTTGCTAAAATAGTAAACCACTGAGTTCTCGTTGTGATATACAGATTCTATAAACTAGTTTTCTATCGCCTTATGCTGCAGTTAGGTCCTGGAAAGCACTGTATTTTAGTAAAACTTGGAAAAAAAGACATTTTAAAACATACACTTAAGGGCTGGGGATTTAGCTCAGCGGTTCGGTGGCCTGCCTCGCAAGTGCAAGGACCTGAGTTCAATTCCCGGTATCACAACAAAACATGAGTTTAACTTTTTGATTAGCTCCTCTCCCGTGTCTTTATCATGTTAGATAAAGCTTATCACTTTAGATTCATCAACAATTGGATGCACTTTGAGGACCATACTCTGTGAGGATAGAAACTAGGCACAAATCTCTTGATGTCATTTCTTTATTCCAAAGGTGCTATGGGCACATAGGTAAGTCGAAAGTATTTGAAAACCATTAGGCATCAGTATTGTTGATATGTTCAAGCTATTGTGCAAGCACTCAATAAAGATTCCCTGGAAAGACCTGGACAAGCCAGGATCGGTGGCACTTGCTTCCGATCCCAGTTCTCTAAGAGACTGAGGCAGGAGGATGGTAAGTCCAAGCCTAGCCTGGGCAATTTATCAAAACTGTCTCAAAATTTAAAAAAAAAAAAATTAAAGGGCTGGGGATATAGCTCAGTACAAAGGCCTTTGGTTCAATCCCCAGTTCCAAACAAAACCTGAACATGGTTATAGCAAAAGTTTGTTTTTGAAGCAAGGATCTTGCTATGTTGTCCCCGCTGGCTTCCAGTTCCTCCTGAGCTCCAGAGATTCTCTTGTCCCAGACTTGAAAGTAGCTGGGAGTATGGGCTGTACCACCATGCCTGGGACAAACCATTTTATTTAGGGTTAGTGAACTAAAACATACAAGAGAGTTCTATGTGTTCCTCAAGAGAGCATATCAAGGGCCAGGGATTTAGCTCCATTTAGCTCCATGCCTGTCAGGCAAATGCAAGGTCCTGAGTTTGATCCCTAGTACCAAAAGGGAGAAAAAAAGCACATCAAGTTGGTGATTAAACTAATTTGTTGCAACAAAGTATGGATGGGAGTTTTCCCTCTCACCTTTGCCCTAGCTTCTAAAGTTTATGTTTCTCAGTGCTACTGTTCCATAATTACCTATTATCCCTCTTAAACTCTGTATTTTCAGTTTAAACTCTTAAGGGAGAGACTCCATTCTAATTTTAACAGAAATTTATTCAGACCTGCTATGGAAAGGGTGTTTTGCTATAAACTCTTGGAGTGCAATGGTAAGCCAAACATTTACCTGGCCCCTGTCTTCACAAGTCTAGTTGGGGAGATAGGTGAAATAAATGTACACTTCAAAAATGAGACAAATCTAGGGCTGGGATTTAGCTCAGTGGTTCTGCCACCTGCCTCACAAGTGCAAGGACCCGAGTTTGATCCCTGGTACCCGCCTCCCCCAAAAGAGAGACAAACCTGAAGGAAAGGTGCATAGTACTGTGCGAATGTAGATTAAAGGGAAAACTGGTTATGCGTGGTGAAGAAGTTTGTTTAGGGAAGGCTTCCTTACAGAATTTTTTTTTTTTTTTTTTTTTTAATGAAACAGTCTTCCTATGCAGTTCAGGCTGACCTCAAATTCGCCATGTAGCTCAGGCTGGCCTCAGACTCCTGCCTCAGCCTCCAAACTGCTGGAATTATAGGCATGTGCCACCGTGCCTGGTTTAATCACCATACTTGATTGGAAATCTGGAGTGGGAATTAATAGGCAATGGTGTGAACAGTCAAGAGTATTCCAGCTCGTAGGAGTGAAAAGTACTTAGGTACTTGGTTGAAAAGAGCATAGCAGGAAAGGATGATGAGGCTATAATGTGGAGTAAGGGGTGAGGTCATCGTGGGTCAGAACGTCGTGGTTTTGTGGGGCCATATTAAGAACTTTGGGACCATTAATGTATTTTAAACTGGGTGGGGTGTGTGTGACATGATGAGGTAAACACTTTGAAAAGATGATGGTGTGGAGGATAAATTAGAGGGAGAGTAAGGTAGATTACAGGGATCCAGCTAAGAGATGATGGAATCTTAAAAATCTGTGTGTGGTGCAAACATCTGTAATCCCAGCACTCCTGAGACTAAAGCGGGAGGATTGTGCCGAGCCAGGCTTCTCTACATAGACTTAGGAGATCAAGTGGAGGGCGCGAGTTGAACTACAGTGAAGGAAGCAGAGATGGGGAAAAGTGAGGAGCTCAACAGAAGTGGATGGAGAAATATTAGAGATAACAACTTCACTGTGTGGAATGAGGGAGAAGGGAGAAGGGAGGGTTGGAGGCAGCTCCTTTTAGCTTGTGGAACTGGATGGATGGTAGTTCTGAGAAAAAAGTGAAAGACTGGAAGATCAAATTCATTTTCTTTATTTCTTATAGAATAGGACAGCAACAAAGATAATCCAGCTTGGACATATTAAGACTGAAGGGCCTTCGAAATGCAGATTGGGCATCTTTATTCTTTTTGTATGTGTCCTCTGAAAGACTTGTGTTGGAGAATTCCTTACATTATGATTAATTGGAGTGAAATATACACTGCCTTCTACGGTGGAATATAAAAATGCCAGTGATTCATTTTCCAAGAGTCCCTTGCAGCTAGGATAGTGGCCATAGTCTACACTTTAACAATTAGATACACTGGTGATTTAGCTCAGTGGTTCTGCTGCCTGCCTCAAAAGCGCAAGATCTGAGTTTGATCCCTTCCCCTACGTGCACTGATTTTTTTTTTTTTAGCACAGGATCTCTTTGCGGTTCAGGCTAGCCTTGAACTCACTGTGTAGTCCAGGCTGGCCTCAAACTCGCAGTGATCCTCCTGTCTCAGCCTCCCAAGTACTGGGTTACAGGTGTGCGCCACCGCACCTAAGAAGATGCACCGACTTTGAAGAGGAAGCTATGACACCAGAAGGCAAGAACCTCAGAATCTTTTCTGGCAGCACTAGCATTTGCATTAAAATATTACTTCCTGGCTGGGGATTTAGCTCAGTAGTTCTGCCACCTGCCTTGCAAGTGTAAGGACGAGAGTTCGAACCTCAGTACCCCACCCCACCCCCCAAAAAAAGATATTATCTCCAGGTGCCACAGTACCAGTGGTTCTAGGGGCAGGATTCAGGGTCTAGCTCTGGTGCTTTGGAGTTAGCTACCATGTCAGTTTGCTGAGAAAGTGTTGATGTCCTCACCAGCCATTCTGTGGTATGCCTTTGGCTGTTGTTTCTGGCTTCTTAGATTAGCCTTCAACCCCTGTGCTCTGTCCTTCCTGTGATTCTGTGAACTTTTAATATATATATTCATTTCTCCTCAAATCAGTCAAGGCCAGTCTCATGCAACTAAGAACCCTCACAAGTACAAATGGTAAGAAGATGGCTGGATCTACAGCTTGAGGCTTAACAGATAAAATCGATTGAGATAAATGAGTCATCATGTCGTATAGATTGGAATTAAAACCAAAGAGATGACTAGAGAGAAATTGTAACATGAGAAGACAAGAAGGTTTGAGGCCACGCTTTGAGCAACTCCATCATTTAGTGACTGATTAGAGGAAGGTAAAATTACAAATGAGACCGAAAAGTGACTAGAGAGGAAGGAAGGGACCTGGGATAATGTATCATAAATGCTAAAGGAGAGAGTAACTCAGGAAGGAAGGAGTGAGCCTTCATGTTAAATACGAAGAGGGCCGGGGACTTAGCTCAGTGGTGCTGCTGCCTGCCTAGCAAGCACAAGGACCAGAGTTCAATCCCCAGTACCAAAACAAAAACAACAACAACAAAAAACTAAGATGAAAAGTCTAAGATACCTATTTGATGTAACAACTTCAACATCATTGACTTTAGAGGACATCATTGAAAGATGGAAGGGTGCTCTGAAGATATAGGAAAAAAAAAACTCAGTTTCTCCTATACTTTCGCTTAACAATCAGCACAGCCCGGTGTATGTGGGGTTTTCTCCAGCAGCCAGTCAGGCTGGGTGTCCTCCAGTTCAGTTCTGTGGGTTGATGGCTCAATCCTAAGGTAACTCCCATCTTCAGATGCCAACCACAGCCTCATATGTTTTACTTAGGCTTCTGGCCTACTGGCCATATGTCAGGCCTCCCACAACCCTCTCCTGTTTTTTGTTTTTGTTTTTGTACCAGGGATCAAACTAAGGACCTTGTGCTTGTGAAGCAGGTGCAGTGCCCCTGAGCTAAATTCCCAGACTGAACCTCCTGAGTTCAATTTCCAGTATCCCCCCCAATCAAATTAAATCAAACAAAATATTCAGAAGAATTTAAATCATATTTCAGAGTGCTATTCAAATGGACAACAGGCTGTCTGTTTTAAGGCTGTGATTTATGGATACTGTGAACAAGACAGTAGGTCTTTTGAGAAGCTTTAGGGCCCTGTCCCTCTGCAAGAGGCCTAAGTACATAGGGCTTATCTTTAAGATTTTTGTGAGGGTGCTCTTCCCTCTGCCCCATACTGGGGATTGAACCCAGGGCCTTAAGACTGGGCTACATTCCCTGCCCAGCTCTTTATTTTATGTATGTATTTATTTATTTATTTTGGGTTTTTGAGACAGGGTCCCCCTATGTAATTGAGACTGACCTGGAACTCACTATGTAGTCCAGGCTGGTCTCCAAGTAGAGATCCTCCTGCCTCAG